GTGTAGGATAGACCATTTTTTTACCAGTGAGTATTACTCGCCACAGAAAATGCTTGCTCACACGTAACACTAGTAGCCTGAATGGATAAATAGTCTCGTGCCATTGCACCTAATGCTGGAAACTCTCGAAAATGAACCTGCCACCATAGCAATGGCGCAACATTATCATCACATGGCAAAGCAAGATACCGGTCAATCTCCTCATAAATTCCAGTTGATGGTCTTGTAATATTTAATGCGGTACTATTATTTAATCGCCTCCTCTTTAATTGATGAAAGTAATCACGAGTGCTTGCTATTTCACCATTATCATGATTAATTACAGCTGGTTGAGACATTGGTGTATGATATTCAGAAAAACGCCTTTTTACTGCATTAATTGCATTTGTTGATTCTTCTCCAGCAGAAAACAAAGTAAGTTTTGTGCGTGGATCTAGTACCGTAGACGCTAAGGTAGATGAATCCACTACTTCCCAATACTGATCAATTTTTTGAAGTATTGATGATGCTACTTCACTTTGACTAAATTCTTCTTTTCCAATATAATCGTTTAGATGTTGTTGGATTCCAAGAAACAAAAACCTTACATCAGAAATGGTGGGATAGGAGGAAGCTGAAAGCAATACTGTTGCTTTTTCTAATGGTTCCAGTAACGTAAGTGTATCCTATTTATATTGTAAATTAGTCATAATGTAGTTTATTTTTTGGATTAGTTATGTTATTAATTAATGTTAATATCGTTATTAATGAAGAATAGCTAACACTTACATTTATTTTTATCCATCCTTGCGCGTCCGGTACGAATTTTTTAATGTCTTGATCTGTTGCAGCTAACATTTCAATAGGTCGCAACATTTTTTGGAATTTTACAATCATGTAATAGGTGCTATTCCACCTGGTCTCAACATCTAATTGTGGTTTGTAATATGTTAAATTTTCTATTGAACACAATTCTCGTAATCTATCACACCTTAGAGTTGAGTGTTTAATTTTTTTCATTAACTCACGAATTTTAACAACCTCATCATCAATAATTTTAATTCCTTGCTGCGCGGCCAAATTTAAAATATGTGCAGAGCACCTATAATGTCGAAAAGACTGATCATTAAGTTCTTTTGTAAGTTCTTCTGCAATTATTCTTCCACAAACTACCATCGCCGATTCATTATCAGTAGTTAAAGCCAAAGTTTTTTCAAGTAGATTAAATTCTGTTAAAACTGATTTTATTGCATTTGCTATATTATTTCCAGTATGACGGGTAGTAAAAGAAATAATATCTAATAAAAAGTTTTTTAGGTTCCAATTATTGTCAACATAATGAATTGTCAGGCCAAGAAATGCATCATTATTACATGTTGAAGTCCACATATCGGCTGTTAAAGATAATTTGCCCGGAATTGCATTTAGATCTTCTTGTATATTTTTACGTTTTTCTTTAAAATAATCAACTACCAAAGTTTTTACTGTTTTTTCATCTGGAATTTGATATCGAGAATCAAATTTATTGATCATAATTTTAAATCGCAAATTTTCAACAGAACGGAAGGGTTGTGCATCTCCAATTACCCACTCTACTACTGCAATATCTCGTTCATTTTTTTCTTTTTCAGGCCAAGGATCAGTTTGCCTAAAATTCAAAATACTTTGATTCTTTCCTGTATTTTTGACATTTCCTATCTTTATTTTATGTATAGATTCTAAGTGTCGTTTTAAAGTTGAAATTCCAGTTTTTTTTCCAAAAACACATTGACATTTGCAACAAACTGGATATCCTGGATGTTGAGTTGTTTGTTCGTTAAAATACTTCCATGTTGGTGAAGTTCGGCGAGATTGAGGTGAGGTTTCTTCTTCACTGTCATCATTATCATCATTTTCTTCATCTTCTATAGGAGGTGCATCTTGTTCAAAAGGTTCAAATTCATCAAAATTGTTAAAATCTTCAAAATCATAATTCGAATAAGACATTTTTACTGAAAAATTTAATGGGAAGGAAAAAACAATGGGAAGAGTGAAGTAAAGTAAAATGCAAAACGCGAAAATTTTGACGGTAAGAGACGTGTCATGATTTACATATTTCACATGACTTATTAAATTGCAGTAAAGATCTGCGAAATTAATCTCTAAATTTATTTATATTGTTTATTATAAAAACCGATTTGGGACCGTCCAAATTAAGTCCCAAAATTAGGACTAGGTCTTACCAAGACTGAGTTCAAAGACTCAGTCCTAAAGTCCTGGACCTGAACTTTTCCATACCCTAATCTTCCTAGATATGTACTCGGATATGGTATAGCCTCCGCGTAATCTATTATATAAAAATGGCAGAAGGGTACACTTTTCTAGATATGTACTTGGGTATGGAAGGCCTGGTCAGAATCAATATATACCGCCTATACCGGTAATCGAAATTGGCATACATGTACTGGCAACAAATAGGCAACTGATATGTATCAACAAGTGAAGGTAACTCTGTAATCATTATATAAAATATTGGGAGAAGCCTTCATCTTTCTAGACAAGCAAATCGCGAATAAACATATTCCTAATAGGTGATATTTAGGGTATTCTTCTGCGTAATCATTATATAAAATATTAGAAGAAGAATACCCTATCACTAGCCCGCTAGAATTACATACCATAGTGCCGGCCAAATTTAACCGATTTTTTATCTATGGCTGATCAAGTAACTTATGTGAGGGTGTTCCGGTGCCGAACAGTATCACGTGACTGGCGCAGTAAGGCGCAGTATAAAATCGGCCAGCACTATTTCACAATTTTGGCCAGATCTTTGGGCATAATATTTCGGCATCCAAGCTGGCCTGAAACTGGTGAACTAATAGAAGCACTCAGATTCCCTGCCAGTTCCATGACAGTTCCAGGAGAGTTCCGGGCACTACCAGGTTACTATCATAGTGCCAACTTAGATCATGTGTCCCAAAGATCGGCCAGAAATTATACACTGCGCCACCTGACATGATATTTTTTTACCATATTTCAGCATTTTGATGGATAACAAAATAGGTGAAGAAGGAAGCACTCTCGAATCCTTAACAGGCAACCAAAGAGGCGCAGAATGGCAAAAACTTCATCATAAAACTTAGAATCCAAATAATTGCAGACAAACCAGACCTCCAACATAGAATTCAACAACCAATCAACCATAGAATCCCAATATCATAAATTATATTAGAAAATGATTATTGATGCATAGAACTAAATAAAAATAGGTATATTTTGATTATTTAGATTATTTAAATTATTTAGTCATAACTAGGCAACAGTTTAACAATAACTAAGTAACATTATTTTAGATTATTACCTAGTCATAACTAGGCAACAGTTTAACAATAACTAAGTAACATTATTTTAGATTATTACCTACTTATTGTTAGACTGTTACCTACTTAAATAACCTAATCTAAGCCGTTTATTACTAAATAATATAATTATATTATTTAGTAATAAACGGCTAGGGTAACTAGTTGGACTATAACTTATCCTTCAGAAAGAATTTATTTGAAGATGGCAATTTCACTGTTCCTTCTAAACAGGAAGTGGAATATGACTTAATGCAACAACTATCTGTTCTATCCATTAATATAGATATAAAAATTTTGCTTAATTCACCAGTAATCAATAAAAAATAGCAATTTTTTATTACAGCAAAGAGTATAATCTATAAGTTTTGAAAAGTTATTCATTCTGAACATGAGGAGATTTTATACTAATATGGTTTTGCAGAAAGTTATGATAAAAGAATTAATGAAATTCGTATTATCAATAAAGTTAAAATTAATACTATGAAACAACAAGTATACCAAGAAGTTAAAAAACTACTT